GGCTGGCATGTGGTGCTGGGGGATTGAACTGTGGTCCCTGTGCTTTGCTAAGCTTGTTCTAAGTAGGTGCTTTAGACCACTGAGCCATCTCACCAGCCCATACCACTATTCTTGATCCTTCATTTTGTTTTTTAATTCAATGAGACTTTTTGATGTGTGTATATGTAACATGCACGACAACCTTTACTGCTCTCTGTTGTCAATTGTATGAAAGTCATGCATATAATATATTTTTTATTTTATATAAGAAATAAAAAATAAAATTAGAAAAAATAAAAATAAATAAAAATAGAAAAAAAAACCAAAACAAAAAACAAAACAAACTGTCTGCCTGACATGCTTTGGAGTTCACTGATCTAGGAGAGACCTGGTTAGCTAACTCCTAGAGATAATAAACCACTGGGCTGTGGGCACACTCTTCCTACGCAGACCAACCAATCCCAAGCCCACACCACCAGCCACCTCCTTTATCTCACTCTCACATATGAATCCAGTATGTTTTTCTTTCCTACATCACTCCAGGGCCAGGATCTTGACAACTAAAGACCAAATTCTTTGGCCTACAGAGTTATTGCCACTGTCCCCTTCCACGTTTGCTCAAATTCACCTACCAATCCTTGCAGTGCCTTCCCTTGGAAGCACAGTCAGGTGGGCCATGTCCAACCCCCACCCCAACCCCCCCTGACCTGGTGCTCCCCACAGGGCCCTACGTGCCCCCTTCTCTTCTCTTGGGAACTGTAAGTAGTGAACTCTTCCTTCAAAGGCTGTTGTCTATTTGTCTGTCACCTTACCAGGGCTAATGAAAGCATATGTCAGTCAAAACTCTTGAAAAAAAACAAACAAACAGAGTTCAGGATATCTTGGTAGCTAAGCCCTTTGAGAGGAACCCACTGATGGGTTTCTGCTCTTATAGAACTCTGCCAAGGTCACCATGGCGGCAATCTCAGATGTAAGATTGGCACTGTGGAGAGACACTGAGAGGTAAGAAGAAAACCTCTATTGCTTGAGATTGCAAGGGCCCTTGGAGGAGGAAGCTGGGAGCAGGAATTATACTGAGTGAAGCATCTTGTTGGTAGAAGACTGGAGGGAGGGTCAAGTGAAAAGGACATGGGAAGTTTATTACTGGACTAGAGGAAGAACATGGCAGTTAGGCTTAAAAGGTCCCCAAAACGTGTTTTTTTTTTTGGATCCAATGCCATGTTGGATCACTGATGACCTTGGCAGAGTTCCATAGGGGCAGAAACCTGTCACCTGCCACTTGTTCTGTGGGATGTTAAGGGATACTGAAAAAAAAAAGAGATTCTGTGGTCAAATAAGTTCAGAAAATTTGGGCTCCAATCAGGCATGGTGGTACATGCCTGTAACCCCAACCTTCTGGGAGGCTGAGGCAGGAGGACGGTGACTGCAAGTTTGAGCCCAATCTGGGCACCTTAGTGACCTGGCAAGACCTTACTTAAAAAAAAAAAAAAAGGAGACATAGCTAAGTGTAAAGCCCCTGGGTTCTTCCCTCAGTCACCCCCACCCCAAAAGTGAATTTCATACAATAGAAGGGGTCCTTTAAAAGACTTTTCATACCTTTAATAAGTTAATACACTTTAGGAATTGAATTACACAATGACACTAACTTATGTTAGTGTCATTCCCTAAACTTACGTCAAGCAAATTCTCTTTTCTCCTGGGAACCTATGTCCTGTGGTCCCCACAGGCTTGGAGATACTAATCTAAAATTACTCAGTATAAGCATGGGCATCTAACAGAACTGTTCAAAGACTATGGCTGTCTTAGAAGTATGAGTTCCCCATTTGTGAAGCAGTAGGTGAAGCGCTGCTGCTGGTGGTGCATGGGCAGGAATACTGTAGAAACTCCTGGGTGCTGCTTGGGTGTGGGGAATGCGCAAGATGATCCTTTGAAAAGGTCCCCTGAGTCTCCAAGGTTGGGTGCATCTGATTCTCATTTGTGCTCCAAATGGAGAAAAGAGACCCTGGAGGGTTCTGTGGCGGGGGACAGAGAGCTGAAGGCGGGCAGCTTCAGCGGGGAGGTGATCATGTGGGGATGGTAATGCTGAGCTGATGCATGAGTCAGACACAAATGGGAAAGCTGAGGTCCTGAGAGGGGAAGTGACACTAAGTCTAGAGGCAGCGCGAGGGCAGAACCCAGAGGGGCTTGGGCCTCTGTCCCCAGACACCTCCGTTCACCTGAGAACATAAGAGGGAGCTGTAGCCTCACGAGGGCGATATCCTTCTCTTTGGGGTGTGAATCGTTTTGCCCAATGGTGAAGATCTTGGCCACAGGTAGGGACTGGAAGTGGTCCATCTTTTCAAAGCCAGCCCTCACCTTCCAGTTGTACAAATCGAGATATTTCCTGTGGGAAGAGAGAGCTGGCTTTAGGCCTGAGCTGAACTCAAGGAGGTGTGGGTAAGGGCTGGTGTCCTGAGGCCCTGTGGATAGTACTACCTCATGTGATGATGGGACTATGGGGACCTGGGGGTACAGGAGGGCAGTCATAAGAATTAACTCTCAGGAGCTAAGTTCTAAAAGGAGATTTGATTTCTTTGTTGTTGTTTTGTGGCTGGCTCAGCCCACCCTGGGGACAGGGTTGGTGCAGCATATGGTGCCAGGGATCGAACTGTGGTCTCTGTGCACTTGTCTAAGCTTGACTAGGCAGGTGCTTTAGGCCGCTGAGCTATCTTGCCAGCCCAGGAGATTTTATTTATTTATTTATTTATTTTTGCTTCAGTGAAACTTACACAGAGAAACTTCTGCCTGGAGGGTTGGGGAAGTGGCTCTTCTATGGGCTGATGAGCCCTGGGGTCCTGATGCTCTTTCTTATAATCTTTGTTCTCTTTTGAGAAAGGGTCTCAGCATATATGTAGTTTAGGCTAGCCTTGAATTTACTATGTAGAGCAAGCTGGCCTTCAACTTGTGACTCTCCTGCCTCAGCCTCCCAAGTGCTGGGAGGACAGATGTGCATCACCACACCTGGCCTCCCATCCTTGTTCTTAGCTGTTTACTTATGTGGTACTCATATGCCCTCAGTCACGTATGGCCGTGTCTTCTCCTCCCCCACCAGACACAGTTTAGTGGGCAGCTCCTCCAGGAAAGGCTTTATAGCTCTTATCAGATTCTCAAAAATGCTAAGAGCCTCCGTCTTGGACTGGGAGTGCTTTGAAGGCACTGATGGGGTCTGCTGGATGCACCTGGGTTTGGTTCCTGGCTGGCACTAATGAGATGTTGAATGAGTAAAAGCGGAGAGGGTATGGTGGTGGCCCTTCCTGGAGGTACAGCCAGGTCTGTCTCTGCTGAACCCAGCGGGAGACTAAGACTGTTGGAGTTTCTGTATAAAACGAGGGAACAGCCGTGATTCTACACCTTGGAGCCACTTCCTGGAAGACTGGCAAGGAGGAAGGGAGTTTTCAGGAACCCAAGGAGGTGAGGTGAGTTTTTGTGGAATGAAAGATATGGGGAGAGAGCTGTGGTGGGAGAGGGCCCGGGTATCTGGTCAGCGTGGGGCGCGGCACCGTCTGCTCGGCCCCAAGGCCCGGCAAAGGGCCTCATGGCTGCCACACCCTGGCAGTAGGTGAGTCAAGGCGGCGCCTTGCGAGCTGGGGCCTTACCTGAAGCAGTGGGCTGCTGTGAGGATCCAGTAGTGGTCCAGGACGCTCCCTCCACAGATGTGCTGCTTGTTGTACTGGATGCTCACTTGCCAAGGCCAAGAATCCACAGAGGCCTCCACCCCGCCCACCACGCGAGGAGCCTTCACGCTCCTCCCACAGTCTGAGGGCGCAGAGAGGAGGAAGAAGGGGAAGTCAGGTGAGGGGTGGGCGGGGCCTGAGA